CGCGAGCTCAGAACGTGCCGCCAAGTCAGGGTGAAAGCCAGGCGCTCCATCTGACTGGCTAGGTGCGCGTCGACGAGCTACTGGAAGATGTTGTTCACGCCCAGCAGCAGGCGCTTGGCACTCGCGGCGTACGGCGGCACCCCCAGTGCCAGCTTGTATTCCTTGCGGATAATCACGTCCATCTCGCCCTTACGTCTCGACAGCGGGTTAAGATACGGAGTTGCGTAGGTGATGTGGCTCACGACGAGTGCTTGAGTAGGCCGGATCAGGTCCGACTCCTTGAGCTCGTGTCTGCGACTCGTTATTCTGCACATCATACGCGTGACTTGCGTGGTTGTCTCGACGAGTCGGTCGACCGTGTACTTGTCTCCACCGTCCCGCTGGAGGTGGCGGCCTAGGATCCAGATCCGCTCCACCACCGGCGCGGCGGTACCGTCCTTTAAGGTGAGGCGTAGTTCCTCCTCCTTGTTCTTCGGGACTGGCTTGCTCGCGCGGACGAGCAACAGCTCAGATTTCTGGGGGGTGCTCTGGAATTTGCCGGCCTCTAAGTAGTTTTTCACTGTCTCGATGGCCTCTTGGAGGAAGGTTTACTTCTCGCCGTCCGATCTCGAAGTAGTCGAAATCGCCAGGTCGTCCGCATAGATGATGTGCTTGCTACGGGGAAATCCGTTCCAGTAGAAGAGGTAGCTTGCGCATAGAGATGGAACAAGAAGGGTCACTCTAAAAAAAGCCCGTGCGTCTGCTTTCCCGCACAACACTGGGAGAGCCAATCACCGCAACTTAAGGAGGCTGCTCGAATGACGATGCCGAAACATATGTTTAGACCAAAGAATGAAGTCTGAGTTGTGACATTAAGCAATGCAAGCGTGACGTTTTGCATTGCTTAATATCACAACTCAGACTGCGTTTTTCAGTCTAACCGAAAAACGCAGTCTGAGTTGTGCAAGGGTCCCAAGTTGTGCAGTCTAAGTCCCAAGCAAGGGCACTCGCAAAGCGGGTGCCCTAGCTTGGGACCGGAATGGTGCCCGTGCGGATGGACTCGACGCCGATGGGGGCCGTGCGATCGCCCAGGAAGTCGCGTACGTAGTCGTACATCCGGGACCTACACCCGGTTGAAGCCAGGTTGTCGAGCACCGGCGTGTGGCTGACGTTGTCGAAGGTGCCCTTGAGGTCGAAGGCCAATACCGCCTGCGTCGTCGTATGGGAGATTCTGTCGAGGATGTCCTCATTGATCTGGAGCAGGACATCTTGCGTGGACAGGTTTCATCGGAACCCGAATATGGTAAAACAGTTAGGGCGCAGGCGAGCTGGTGTAAGTTTACCATTTTTTTTAGACCATCTGAGACTGGGTGGAAGAGACGTCGTCGTGTTTCTTCCACCCAGTCTCAGGTGGTGTAAAAAAATGGTAAACCGAATATGGTGTTAGAAAAAAGATGCCCGTGTCTTTCAGAAACGGCTGAAGCTGGTTGGTGACCACGTACTCCAGAAGCTTGCCCAGACACGATGTCAGGGATATGGGGTGTAGGTTGTCCAGGCTTGGGGCCTCGCCGGGCTTGGGGATAAGCACTATCTCCGCGTGATCTCACTTGGCCGGGATCTTGCCCGACTCCCACACACGGTTGAAATACTGGGTCAGAGTGGCCAGGGATGCGTCGTCCGGGTTCCTCAGGAGCTGGTTCTGGATCAGTTCTCTTTGCCGGGCGAGGTGCTCGGCGTCAAGTTCTGGGCAGCCCGCGTGACTACCTTCTCGGTCACGGGCGCGTCGAGTTTGGGGTTGGCCACGCCGTTGGAGTCCGGGTACGCCGCCGGGACCGGCTTGCCTATGTACCTGTCCTGCAGCATCCCGAAGATTTCGTCGTCCGTGCACCCTCGAAATCCCGCACGATCTTGTGGATTGTGCGGCTCGTCTTGAAACTTTCCCTTGGTCGGGTGGAGGAGGTGGCGCAGCAGTGACCACGTTTTTGCAGTGCCAAAGTCCCCTGGAGCTTGTTGCACGTCTGATGCCTGTTGGAGCGTAACAGCTGGGCTGCGTACTCAAGCATTTCCCACTCCAGCATGGCGATGCGGATATTGATCTTCCGGTTGAATCGCTAACGTTTCCACCTCTTGAGGATCCCGCGTCTGGCGTCCCAGGGGTGTAGGACAAGAGTATGCCCGAGAGAGAGAGAGAGTGTCGTTGGTGAGATTCACGTGTCTGGTGTGCTTCTTTACGTCAGTCTGCACGTATCTTACCCACTGCTCTAGGTCGCCCGAAAGCGCGGACTCCTTCGGGCGCGACTCTCGGAACGCGTCCCAGTCGGTTGATGCCTGCTTCCTGACAAACCTGTTCTGAGAAATAACGGCGACCTCGTCCTCGATGATGGAATGGTCACTGCCTAGGCTCTCGCCGGTGTTGGTCCTGTCGGCTGCGGTGAATCTTACTAGCGTGGGGTCGGGGCACGTGTCCCTATTTACGATACTGCCCGTGCGCGTCGGGTGTTCTGGGTCGGTCAGGAAGGTGAACTTTTGTTGGCAAATCACCTCGTGCAGCCTGCACTCTAAAGGGGAAAAAAAAGGAGGAAAAAGGTAGCAACGGCGCTTTTTCCTCCCATCTACTGACGCGCCCCCAAGCGGACACGAGAAGAAGGGAGGAACGAGACGTTTTTCTCCTTCCCCAGGCAGGCGGGAGAAAGGTTCCACCCTCCTGCTTCATCTTCTTTCGGTTTCTTTTTTTGAGCAGGTCGCGCACGTTGTTTAATAAATGTTGTTGAGCTGATTGAGATTTAGGCGGCAGCGAAGGTCGCCTGTAATTGCGTCGCCCAGTCCAAACGTGCAAAACATTTCGGTTGCATTGATGTTTTTGTCACAAATTTTATCAAACGAGCAAACGAAGCCGCTAGAAACAGAAGAACTGTCTCGAGCGGTGCAAGCAGTGCTACGTACACTGGGCTAAGGTGGCAGTCTCCAGATTGCGGAACCCATAATCACGGTGAAATTTTCAGTAAAATCCATCGCGGGCATGCTGGGATGACGATCAAGCATCCCGGTAATCATCTCGACGGCTCCGAGAGGCGTGGCACGGCTGCCAGTGAGTCCGGGCTCCACGGGGCAATGAGTGACGCATTAGGATACGATGCACCCTCGGTAGCCACTACAGCCCCGGCTGCCGGCGCGTTCGACGTTAGGGTTAGCGAAGCGGAGGTGGCGGGCCTGAATTCCGTAGGCTGGGAGCCCATATTTTCAGGCACGCAAAGCTCCTGAAGATTGTTGGCGGTGCCAATGGTCGTTATAGTGCCGTTACGAGACATGTGAGCTGAAGCCCAAGCGTGGGGCGCAAGAACACCAAATGTTGACGGAGCCGAAGCGAGATGGGTCTGACATCATGACTCAAGTTCGACGCTCTTGGAATGGAAAATAAAATGTACCAACCAGCTCAACTGACTCCCGTAGCGAAAAAAAAAAAAAAGCACGTTGGAAGCGTGAGTGATACCCCGCTCTTTTAGAGCGTGGTCCACGCGCGATGAACCATCGAAAAAGATCGGTGGCCCATCCAGAACGATGGCTCATCCAAAAACGGGCAATAAACAGATGTGCTGTGATTGAGGGTTTCCCACCTCGTGTGGGCAACTCAGCGCAGCACAGGGCGCTGCAAAGATTGCCGTTTGCCATACACAGGGACTCAACGCGAACGTATAGGCAACGTGGTTCTCGCGGGCGGTACAGTGGTAACAGCAGACGACGGAGCAGCGACCGCCACTGTTCCCATAATGTCTGACGCGCGCTGCTTCATGGCGCGCGCTACTTTTCAGAAAGGTCCATGGCTCGCTCCAGCATCGTTCTTTGTTTAAATTCCAATCAAAATTGTTTCAATATCTTGAATTACTTCTGAATGATATTTCTATAATAGTACGAAAGTGGGGAGAGAAATTAAAACTGGAGAAATTTATTTTCCTTTTGCGACCCCTTCAATAGGTTGGGAAAAACGACACCCATGGCTACACCCGGTAGTATCATTTTTGACTAATACACAATTTATACGTGTGAACTATGGTACTGTTAATTGGATTACCCTTCCCTACACCCTAAAGTGTGTAGGGAAGGATATGTTATGTGCAGTCCAAACAATTGACTGAATAACCGCTTAAAACAGCTTTAGCGGAAGTTCTTTCAGCAACTACCACTCTAAAAAAAAAAGTCTCTGCGTCTACTTTTTCGCACAACATGGGAGAGCATATCACCGCAACTTCCGGAGACAGCTCAACAAATGACAATAACAAAACATTTGTCTAGACAAAAAAAAAAAAAAAAAAAACGCATTCTGAGTTGTGGCATTACGCAATGCAAGACGTCACGCTTGCATTGCTTAATGTCACAACCCAGACTGCGTTTTTTGGTTTAAACATATGTTTCGACATCGTCATTCGCTGAGCTGCCTCCGTAAGTTGAGGTGATTGGCTCTCCGAGTGTTGTGCGGGAAAGTAGACGCACGGGCATGTTTTAGAGTGTACGTCAAATTAGTATTTTTTGTATCAATGCTTTTTACTTGGGGATACGTTCCTTGAATTTTGACAGATTTTATGTGAACTATTAATGAGAACAAATTGGCATGCTTTTATACTTCGCCATAATGGCCATCATTCCAAACTCATAAGTGCCTCATTGTATCTGTATTTTACGTTTTTGTATATGGGATAAAAGCACATGGAGCTCGTTGCCCGTAAGCGTTGTCAGCAAAAACATATCTCCAGGAAGCCGCTAGAACCAACAGCATTCTAGGGTGTTCTCCATCACCATGATGTTTTTGCTGGAAAGACACTCTGATGTTTTAGCCCTGGGTCACACCCATAAAGGTGTTAATTTGATTTACCGTAATCAAAACTGAAAAGAATGTTTGCTTATTTAAGGGCCATTACCGAGAAGCATCATTTCTGATGGGTATGATACTTCAATTGCATATCATTAACCTCCCTGATGATGTATTATGCTACCTGGTGAAAATTACATATGTTCTCTTCTTTCAGTGTTTTGCCCAAAGTCGGCCAAAAATCCTGGCCTCCACTCTTCGGCAGTGCAGCGGGAGCGTCTATGCACGTGCTCATTCAAACGACGGGAGACCTTGAGGTTGTGAAAAACTTTGGTAGCGACGTTTGTCAGATGATTAATAAGCTAAATATTAGGAACATGAAAAGCCTCTGTGAATGAGCGCTTGGCAAATCGGACAACGTTTTATAAACGATGAAATAAAACGACACTTTCTATTGTATTTATAGAAACCAGGATGATAAAAGTTGTTCAAAACTTTATCTTAGAAATACATAGTTTAAATAGCACGCATCTACATATTTTAAAATTTTCGAATATAGAACTAAATGTTTACTCCAAATATTATTTTCCTAAAACGAAGTATAAGATTCTAGGTAAGACATTATTGTGCTGTTGCTGTCCAAGCAATATTATCAGGGTGTCGAATCGGAACCGAACCGAACCGAAAACCGGAACCGAACCGGTATTTTTTCCGGAACTGAACCCGAACCCGAACCGTTATATTGTTATCGCGATGAACCCGAACCGGAACTGAACTGGAAAAAAAAATAACGGTTACCGGCTCATGTCAAAACGGTTCGGCCACGCGCTGTTGACAATGAATGTGCTATCAATGCCATTTGTTTTTTAAGTGCCGTCAACTGACACACACCTCGCTTACATATTTTTCTTCTCCACTCAGTCTTAGGAATATAAACGCTGCATCCATGAATCTTGACAAACGCTGCATCCATGAATCTTGACATAGGAACCAGTATTGCGCTGGTCGCGGCTTGCACGAAAAAAAAAAAACTGGAAGGCTGTGCAAAAAAAAAAAAAAAAAAAATCGCGTCACGGGATTTTATTTTCTTACAATCTCGTAAATCCTAAATGCTGCTGTGTGCTCATTTCATAACACGTTTTTAGAACGCGCGAGTTCTTGAAGCTTGCTTCCATCGCAATGAGAAAAGAAAAGGCTGTGGAGTTTGATAATAATGCATCCGATTTCGTATAGGCACTTAGAAGCTAACATATTTGTAACACAGCGAACTCTTCTATTTTAATATTTATCCTATTACGTCCTTCTGGCGTTTCGTTCGGTGAAGTGTTTTTCATATTCCGTATCTTGTTTAATGAAAACTTCTTTAAGGGTCTAATTTGAGTTACCGAAGGCTAGTTCAAATAAAGAAAGCTGTATTTTCTCCCCACTGTTCTTTCAATTGCTTACACGACGAGGTGGCGGGATAGTTAGCGAGTTCTACTTGTAAGTGGGTTTGTAAGGAGGTCGCGGATTTTACAGCTACTGCGTCGGACCCAATTAGATGAAGTCCGAATGCGTAAACGTCGGTGAGGTAACCTTTGAGTGCACATAAAGAAACCATTCCTGGTAGAAATCCCTGAGCCTTACACTACGATGTATCCCGTTTCGTATGTGCTGATTTCAGACGTTTATTTGTAATTTATTTTGATGTTGCAATTTGTCATTTATAATTTCCGAACCGGTTCGCGAACCGGTTCGCGGATCGAATTAATCAAACCGGAACTGAACCGGAACAAAATAAATTTACCTGAACCTGAACCGTAACCGAACCCGTATTTTTTTCGGTTCGACACACTGAATATCATACTGTGAAGAATTAGAAAAACACCTAAACGCCTTACTCAGTCTTTTGTTTTTCATTTGACGAGTGAAAAAAGTGACAACAAAGTTTTGCTGGAAACTTCACTGTAAAATTAAACTTACCAGTTTTAAAAATATACGTTCTTAATGGAAGCAGAACTGATTATCGGAAAGTGGCATTTACACTTTTAAATAAACAAGATGACGATGCGGGAGGAAAAAGTTTGTTTATGAAAGTCGTTCTAACAAATAATGAACACACAAAACATGTTTATGCGTCCATACACTAGGAATGATAACATGCTAACTGAAATTCTTCCTTTTTGGTCAGGCATGCGTACTTAAGTATTTTAGGTAATCCCCTTTCGATTCTGTCTTATGAACTAAATCCCAAACGTTAATGACACATCGACTGATAACGAGTCGAGAAAAAGACGTGGACTCACGAAAGTGGCACTTCGACACGGCGTTTTTTTTTTTTTTTTTTGGTAAAACATGCAATTTGTAACTTGTTACTACAAATATGTTACACGCTCTTGCTATAGTCACTGGTCAGCGAGCACGCCGAAAAATGGACGATGTATGCCATATTTCGATACGAAGAGGAAGCTCCAATATGAAAGAGTGACCACCTTTCATCGCGAATATTCACCCACGTCTTGTTTTTGTTTTGTTTTTTAGCGTATTTTATGATGCTAGGCAACTTACAATGCCTTTGCGCGTGCGTTTGTGTCGGGGTTTCGTTGGAATCAGGGTCCAATAATTCGTAGAATGAATCTGCTACAAGTGGAATACGGAAGGTGACTTTATTCTGAACTTGAACGTTCATGGCACAGATGATATTTCTAGTGTTGAATATTCCACACATTTTGCTTTTCCCATTGCTAAATTTACTTAAACACCAAGCTGACAACATCGATGGCATTCCGTATTTCAAGGACCATTAAAGGAGACGACTCAGGGTTACAAACTTCGATCGCATAGCCACACATTAAAAAACAACGACACCTCTTATTCGCTTGAAAAGCATCATGACATCATCTTTAAAAATTGAAGCTTAAAAATTCGTTATTAAAAATATAGCATAAAAGAATTCTAAAATAATAATAATAAGAAGAAGAATGTCTTTATTTGGCTCTGGAGAGCCAAATAATTTTGGTTTTGTACTGCTCGAGCACTTGGAAAATGTAGAGGGTAAACCTTTTTTTTTAGAGAACTTTAAAATGAGAAGTGTCGTCTATCCTTTTTTTCTCCTTGTCGATCACGTGCGGAAATGTCTATTTTAAACCAGCTCGCCGGCATCCTTTCCATAACTTGCCCGTTTGTACTGTTCACCATGATCAAAGTGTATGTACATCGCGTTGCTTGTTTAATCGTCTTCAACATTCATCTCTGGTTACCGGAAAAGCAGGCCAATGCGAAGCGCACGTTCGTCTACTTCTTGCAGAGAGATTCCGATGATGTCAAAGCGCCGAGCTCTTATTGGCTGCTTAACAAAAACAATGGGTCAAGGCCTCTAGCATTGGGACCTACCCACTATCCTTTCAATCAAAGCCAATCAGAGGTCGGCGTCGGTTTTGACGTCACCGTAACTCCCGCGAGAGAAGCAGACGACCTGCTGTCCACATACCACCTAGAAGGCTAAGGCCTGCGCCTCACGCGTCTGCCGCGTTGCGGTGTACTCTGGTCGAGCTTCGGCATGTTTGCCGATAGGGGCGGGTCGGAGATCCGCTAGCGATGACGTCACGCACGGTCCTTGCCTTCTACCCGGTGTTGGGCAGACGCTGCTGCTAGCTAGCGGACCCAAAGCGCAACGCGACAGCGAGAGCCGTGGCAGCGAGCCAAGGCAACGCGTCCGTCGTACTTTTCGCACCACTCGTCGAGTCGGCCCCGGGGGCGGGTGTGCCCGAGGAGGAGCTCGCGGACTTTGGCCCGGCGACGGCGTTGGCGTTGTCCTCCAGGATCATGTCGGCGGCCTTCTCGGCGATCATGATGACCGGCGCGTTGAGGTGCCCCGACAACATCTCCGGGATGACGGACGTGTCGACCACGCGAAGCCCCCGGATTCCGCCACGGACCCTGCAATCGAGGGATGTCAGTGCGGGTGTTGTCCATCATGCTTCCGAGAGGGTGCGCGTTCCGAACGCCCGACCTTTCGCCGTGCTTTGGGTGCGGGCGCGCGCTCGACGCTCACCAGACGGCAAAGCGTCGTCGAGCACGCTGGAGGCGGGACAACTGAAGTTCCTCCCTGCTGTTCCCCCTTAGTGTAGAACTTAATCTGTGCTTGGGATATCGGGACCTTATTCCCTGACGGCCTTCTGGAACCCGCCATTTCGGTGCCTAGCGCAGAGTGAGTGGAATACACCCTTTTCAAAAGTTCGTACCATTGCCCGTCCGCCATATTGCTTGATAACGTATACCCTTGAGCACCTATAGAACACGAGCGCTGCGTCAGCGTTCGGCGAGTACTCGGATCCAGTCACACGCTACGTGTCCAAGCAATGGCGACCGCCAATGTTGCTTGACGGACTTTTGTAGAGGGTCTCATACGATTCGCAAATGCGGCTTTTTCAACTTTAAATATGGGGACAACAGGAAGCTCAGGCGATATCGTTTCGCTCTGTCGCGGTCTGTTCTAATTTTTCTTTCTTTTTCTTTTTTGAGGAAAGGCAAGAGTTTTTTTTGCTATTTCAAATAAAGCTTAAGGTAACTGGCAACAATGATTTTAATCAGCAAGATGGCTGAAGTGTCGTCACTCCGAAGCTATGGTGCCTGGAACGCGTCTCCGACTGGTGTGTTTACGGCGTCCAAAAAAGCGGTTTCTCGATTTTCGCGCGATGACGTCATACAAGTGTCACGCTGTTCCCGGTCGCGATCCTGGCGGTGTCACAGCCGGGAGAAATCTGAAGGTTTATTTTGCAAATTGGGCGTCACAAGACGAAAGACTCCCTTTTCCGGTGTGGCAAGCTGCCACCAAATCCGCGGTGAACGGGCGGAGAAGGTACAGACGATCCGTGGTTTTTTTGGTGGATGAGACTGCATTCAACACTATTAAGCGGGGGGTGTTAATTGTGGTAACCATAAGGTAGAAACCTTAATGGACGGAACAGAAGAAAAAGTTGCGTAGGCCGCTGACGTTATGAACGTCTGTCTGCAGATTTTTCCTTCGAATAAAGAACACCGCGTAGGACCGGTGGACCCAAGAAATTACCTAATAAGCAAGCTGCGGCGTAGAAAATCAAGCGCAGTCCACAGTGATAACAGTTCTACCAATTCTACACTTTCTGTAATCTCAGAAAGTAAGCTTGCTCGAGATGCGCTCCGAACACCAATCGTCTTGATCAGTTCAAACAATGAGAATGGCGATCGGTATCATGATCCATTTGCAATACCGTTTTAGTGGTGGACGATTGGCCTACCGCTAAAATTTCAAAAAAATATTTGAAAATACTGTGACCTATACTCTGTTTCACCTTGTATTGTACCGCACTAAAGGCTACAGCGCGAGCTCCTTGCTCTAGGGCACATCTGGGCGGCACAAGCTCCCGTGCACCAAGGGCAGCTGCCAACGCTATGAGCTCGCGCTTCTAGCCTTCGCTGCGGTACAACATAAGGTGAAACGGAGTATAGCCCAGTTCATCCATGGCAGCGGGGACGAGCCCAGCTCGTCGTCGGGGGGAGCGGTACAAGCAGTGTCGACGAACCACGTGCGACGAACCCAGGTCGTCCATGGTAGGGAAAGGGTTAAAAGTAGCCGTTTCTCATTGACTTAACTAACCGTAAACGAGCATTGACTGGAATCCCGGACACATCCATGGGCAATGCACACGTCCGGTCTGGGGAACCCCTCTATGGAATCTGGTGCGTCTATTTTCCCACACAGTATTTTGAAGAGCCAATCGATGGCAGTCTACGGAGAAAGCTGGACAAGTGACGAGGCTGAATATAAACCTAAAAAGAACCGTTTGCGCCGCGACAACAGAGTTTTTAGGGACCGTTTTCGCACATGCGATACCTTACTAGAGGCCTTCCGATACGAACTGCGCGTATGCTATTACAGAAGACTCGCGCATGCGCAGTGCGTACCAGACTGCCCATCGTACCGTACCGGATGTGCGAAAACGGTACGGAAAAATTTGTTCCTAACTAACTGAAAAGTGCGGGTATATTTGAATGTTGGTTTTGGCATCATTTTCATTTGCCGATTTCACAATAACTATTATGTATTTCACGATAGTAACTAGCATACCGGAAAGGGTAAAGGCCGCTCGAAGAACCTTCGGAGTACCCCTTTAAGCGTCATGATTAATGTTACAACGCTGACTTTTTTTTTTTACAGCGATAGTTGTTATGGTCGTTTCCACCACTGGAAATAGCGTGCGTTGTTGATGTTGTTGTATTAGTTGTTGACATTGTAGTTGGCAATGTAGGATGTCTGTCGTCGATATTGCCCAATCCTTGAAAAAATCGCCACCGCCCGCGTCAATCGAGCCTGTGTCTGCTCCGTGCGAAGCGGAGGCGTTTGCAGTGAGCCACGCCACAGCGTTAACAACCCGCTCCATGTTTCAGATTTTTGTAGCACCATAGCCTCCTTAATACTGACAAAGCCTGGCAGCTAGGCAAGAGACGCGGCTGCCGAAAGTAAAGAGGTAGAGCGGAAGACAACGGATGAGAAAAGAGGCAAGGCTCGTCGATGCACGAGGCACGTGCAACGTGCAGCCCTTGGGAAGATCGTGGCGGCACAGCGAAGCACTGCCGCCAACTCCAGAAGTGACGGGCGACACGTGCCTCGAGCATTTTTACAACAATGAATGGCGCCACTTTTCCGAGGATAGAGGGGCTTTAGAAGAGGCAAGCAACGGGCGCCCCGCTGCGGCGAGACGCCGAAACACACTTCTCCTGATCGATAGAATTTCCGTCGGGTTTGAAAACCATGTTTCGGATCCTCACCGCTGCAAATTCTGTGTGTTGAATAGGCCCGTAGCTCTCAAGTTTTGAGCAGCGCTCCAGGCGAGCAAAATAGAATATTTGGCTCGCGTTTCGAACGTGCGTCATTACGCTTCCCCACTAGAGTTTTTTATACTCCGTTCCATTCTAACCGCCGCGCCAGCGTAGCAGAGGCTACAAGAGCGAGCTCCGATCTTGCATTGTCTTTTCCAAGCACGCGCGCTCGTGCAGTGCAAGCATCGTTCAGGGGAGCATGTTTTTGCAAGTAGCTTCAGCTTCGCTATCACTTAAAATGAAACATACGGGCTCACGGAAGCGATTAAAGAACGCCATAAAATAATAAAGCTGAATGGGACGCTGAGTCCGCGAGCTGCACAATTCTTTTTTTTTTATTTTAGTTTTTCTTTTTTTTAGACGTTTTGTTATCGCGCGTCTACAGATGCGACAGATGCTTGCATTCGAACGTTGCACGTGCAAAATCGAACGTTACAGCGCCGCCTGGATTGTGCTGCCAGCATAACATGGTCGCGTCTTGCAGACGCGCTCACGCCCCCTGCCCGAGAGCAACGGGTCTATACCAGAAATGCTCTCTGCTACCAGATCCTCGCGCTCCAAATCTGCGACCGGTCACTCTATAGCTCCATCGTCGAACTGCCAGGCTTTGTGAGTATAGAGAAGGCTATGGTTGTACCCAATTCCCACTGCACGCGTTCTCTGGAAAATAATAAAAACAAAAGAATAGCCGATAACAAGAATTCGCCGTAGCGCTGTCAATGCCAAAACCTCGTGCCGAAAAACCCACTTTCACGCGTTCCAAAAAAAAAGAAAGTTTCGAACAAGACAGAACAAACTAAAAACGTTCGGAACAAAACGGATGCCCATTTTGTTTCGAAAGCTTATGTTCACGGAGCCCACGGTGCAGGAACGCGACGCAGATGCCCAACGACTCCGCCGTGACGTGCCGGAGCTACCGCTGTGACTGTAGTGTAAATTAACGAAGGACTGCTCGACTGTTTTTGTCTTAAGCCTAAATGTAATTTTAAGCTCGTCATTTGCCGCGCCCCCTCCGTGGTGTGCAGCGGTTGACTGTTTCAAATGCTTTACGAGTGAAAAAAAAGAAGAAAAAAAAAAGATGCGCCAGATTGCTTAGAGTGTAAGAGACAAGCTTTGGTCGTGCTCAGGCCCACCTGAGTCTGGGGTCCACGACGGCCCTGTGGTCGCTTCCCATCCGGCACGTCCCCGCCGGGTGGTAGGCCGTGGTCGGAAAGGAAAGCGCCAGGCATTTCCAGTAGGCGTCGCTAAAATGCTCCTCGGCTTCGCAGCCCGGGAACACCTCCGTCCAGAACTCGGCACCGTGCTGCTTGAACGCCTCCGTGTTCGCGATCCTGTACACCTCCTTCAGACCTGGATGGATGAATGTATAGATGCTACTGGAATAACGGGCCGTAGCTTGCGCACCATCAATGGATTGATGGATAGGATAGATAATGGATGAATAATAAAGACTATACCCTATTTATAACGAGGAGTAGCTTGCGCCACCTAGCCTAAACCAATAACAAAAACTTGATTTCCACATTCTCTTTTTAAGCCAGTGCATTTCTCTAACTATCGCCAGGTCATGAAAATGATTGCCAGGCATACCTTTGAAGGATAGGGAAAAAAAAAGCTTAAAACATCACCTTCCGCCTCCTCCCCCGGCGAGGAAGTCGCCAATTTTCGTCTGATCGAACTTTGTTGACGTCACCTAACACCAGACTCGCTGGGGGAGAGGGTTGAGACTTCGGGCCGGAACTACGAGGGAGGAAGTCCAAATCTTCCTCTTTTCCCCAACTGTGCTAGTTAGTTGTTCTTCGTTCGATTTCCTCTAGATAATTTCCACCACCACTCCAACCTCCCCTTCGTTGCCACTCTTCTATAATCCACCCTTCCATCCTCTCCAGCGAAACCAAGGGCCAATGGTACGTCTGTCGCCCCTACGGGAAGGGTAGAACTCAGATTCTTACATTTTAGAATCACATTTTCAAATGATTCTTTCTATTCTTTACATATTGCGCGCATTGTCAAATTTGGCCCTATACATTTTTGTCCCTAAGACTCCCGTCCTCGCCTCAAACAGCAGAGCGTTAAATTATCAAATAAACCTTCTATTTCTTGCTTTTGTGACTTATAAATTGTTAAAGTTGACTTCCCCTGCATTTTCTCCTCCCACATCTATCTCTCTGCTTCCTTTCGCAAGAGGCAGAAGAGGTACCTCTCTGCCTCCTAGCTGCCTCCCTTCTGGAGGAATTTCATCCTAAGCTTTCGCGTTCGTTTAGTTCATCTCGTATTGAGACTCCTTATATACAGCTATTTATAGATTTTATGCGCCAACCACGTGTTCTTCATGTCTGTTGGTCTCTGGACACAATTTATTTTACTCACTGCCTCTCTTGTCTCAAACGATGACCAGCTCATACCACCTTGCACTCCCTCATTTAGAGTGTTCCCATGTGCCTCTAGAACTATCCTGCCAACAATCCTTTGTCCTATCTCCAATTTCGCTTGAACTTCAGAACTTATGCACAAGACTGCGTTACCAAAGGTCAATCCTGGTACTATTATTTATTTCCATACACCACTACGTACCTATTAAAGGTAAACCATACCCTAGCCTTGCGATAGCTGCCAACACGGCGCGCGGTTCGAAGTATCAGCTCTCAATGTGTGCATAGAGTGAATGAATTAGTGAATTATTTGGTAAATTAGTATATTTAGTAATAAGGTTTCGAGGCAGCGAAACTTACCATAATTCGTGTCGTTCTACGATGGACTAAATGCTAAAACCACGGGCCGCCAGGACCAATCGGGTTCAACGCTAAACTATGACGTGCTCCGAATAAAAAAGCACTGCATCCTTTTTATAGCTTTGACACTGCAAAGAGCATGTATGTCGTGGCTTTCTTTGCAATGTGAAATTGATAAGTCACTCATTGCTCTTCAATTCGAACCACTGTACGCCCATCCACATCAGTGATCCGAGACGCGGGCACCGATATATGTGCATCGAAGCGATATATCACGCCCTGTTCTGCTCATATCTCGATTACTGTTTCCTGGTCTGGGGAACCACTACGAAAACGAACGTTCACAGACTTTTTATAATGTAAAAGAGGGCATTGCGAATAATATGTAATGTAGCGTATGATCACTGTACGAAATATTTGTTTAAAAAGCTTGACATGTTAAAAATCACCAATTACTATAGTTATAGGCTTTTCGTGTCATATAAAAGATCATTAAACAGTCCTGAAAGCAGGGTGTCGAACCGGAGCCGAACCGAACCGAAAACCGGAACCGAACCGGTATTTTTTCCGGAACTGAACCCGAACCCGAACCGTTATATTGTTATCGAGATGAACCCGAACCGGAACTGAACCGGGAAAAAAATAACGGTTACCGGCTCATGTCAAAACGGTTCGGCCACGCGCTGTTGACAATGAATGTGCTATCAATGCCATTTGTTTTTCAAGTGCCGTCAACTGACACACACCTCGCTTACATATTTTTCTTCTCCACTCAGTCTTAGGAATATAAACGCTGCATCCATGAATCTTGACAAACGCTGCATACATGAATCTTGACATAGGAACCAGTATTGCGCTGGTCGCGGCTTGCACGGAAAATAAAAAAAATTGGAAGGCTGTGCAAAAAAAAATCGCGTCACGGTATTTTGTTTTTTTACAATCTCGTAAATCCTAAATGCTGCTGTGTGCTCATTTCATAACACGTTTCTAGAACGCGCGAGTTCTTGAAGCTTGCTTCCATCGGAATGAGAAAAGAAAAGGCTGTGGAGTTCGATAATAATGCATCCGGTTTCGTATAGGCACTTAGAAGCTAACATATTTGTGAGACAGCGAACTCTTCTATTTTAATATTTATTATATTACGTCCTTCTGGCGTTGCGTTCGGTGAAGTGTTTTTCATATTCCGTATCTTGTTTAATGAAAACTTCTTTAAGGGTCTAATTTGAGTTACCGAAGGCTAGTTCAAATAAAGAAAGCTGTATTTTCTCCCCACTGTTCCTTCAATTGCTTACACGCCGAGGTGGCGGGATAGTTAGTGAGTTCTACTTGTAAGTGGGTTTGTAAGGAGGTCGCGGATTTTACAGCTACTGCGTCGGACCCAATTAGATGAAGTCCGAATACGTAAACGTCGGTGAGGTAACCTTTGAGTGCACATAAAGAAACCATTCCTGGTAGAAATCCCTGAGCCTTACACTACGATGTATCCCGTTTCGTATGTGCTGATTTCAGATGTTTTATTTGTAATTTATTTTGATGTTGCAATTTGTCATTTATAATTTCCGAACCGGTTCGCGGATCGAATTAATCGAACCGGAACTGAACCGGAACAAAATAAATTTACCTGAACCTGAACCGTAACCGAACCCGTATTTTTTTTCGGTTCGACACACTGCCTGAAAGTGTTTTTAATTCAGTGTCAGGTTTGGAGTCGCGGGACGCAACATACATCACTCGTCATTCTCGAAACTGGGCCGCACCGCGCTCCAGAACAAATTATGGTGACCAGAGACTGGCTTTTACACTCGCAAGAATTTTAAATAACCTTGAAGCAAAGGGAATTTCCGTGGCAAACACAAGCGAAAAAGAAATTCGTGGCTTATCTGAGGGATTCATCGAATAGGTGTTGTCATGTACTGAATGTAAAGCTACAGTTGCGTATATATTTTTGAAAGTCAATGTGCATTGTTATGTTCTCATTACTAAACTCTCGGAGAAAGCGTGTGAAACTCTGAATTAAGTTTACTTGTTTAACCTTGTGTACTGTATGTAATTGACACTACTGTCCTGTATATGCACTCAATCACCTGTATTTATTTATTTTAAACTGTTCACTCACTCATATGTCGTGTTTCTTCGAACAGGGGACGCGGGGGCTTCGTCAAGTAGCCGACATGCTGTTTTTTTGCCTGCCTTTCCCTCTCAGATCGAGAGGAAACAAAATTTATTGATTGATTGATTTCTAATTGGCTCGTGATAGGATCTGGCGGTTCGTAGCTTTTGCCTTTAGTCCATCGTTGGATGAAACGAAGTGTAGTATAGCAAAACCCTCCACTTTAGCTTAACATGCATCGCAATACAAAACAGTATTCAAGAAATCTTGTTTACAGCGTCTGAGCTAAAACATGTACCGCTTTTTGTGTCTTTAGTTAGCACAAGAAATGAGTTCATGCTTTTATATGCAATTGCACAATCCTCATAGTTGATTTAAAACAAAAAGGTTGCATTTCTTAGGAGCAGTTACATTATGGCTACTTTTTATATTCGAATATTTATAACAATTGAGAAGGGTAATATATTATATATGCGCATACTTTATATGAGTAGCCAAATTTTAAAAACAAAACAAAATAAAAGAAACTATATTTAGTAGATTTAGTTTAAAAAAAAAAAAAGCCCGAATGCTGAAAAAAAATTAAATATATTTATAATTTCATCTAATTAAGCAACAGTGTAATTTATTATGTGGCAATTCTGGCGTTTACATTTCTTAAGACCCTGAAGAATATGTAGCCTAATGTTCGGCGTTATTCTGGCCATTCTCGCTCGGGCTTGACTCTTTCCGGCGCGCACGAGAGAGTTCGATTCAGCGACTTCATCCGGGTGCTTGTACGACGACTCGAGGTGCCTTTGTTCCCAATCGCTCGACCGTGTTCGGAAGAGTGAGGTCCACTTAGACATGCGTAGGCTGCTGTTTTGTTCGCTACGAAGACCACGGAAAGCTGGTTCATCACGTTACCGTTATATCGAGTCTTCCTTGGTAGTACAAAGAACACTCTAAAAAGGCCTATGGTTTCTGTTTCGCAGTCCATTGGGAGAGCCGATCACTGCAACGTACATCTAAGTAAAATATTAGGTTCGCTTTTTTTTAGGAACACGGAGATGCTAATCACAGCAAACAAACAATGCAAGGTGCTCAGCGAATGACAAAGCTCACAAATACGATTAGACTAAAAAATGCGGTGTGCGCCAGGACGGCAGGCATAACATTTCACTTGCTCATTGCTCCTGCCCACATCGTAATTTTTCAGATGTAGTAGGGCATCATAAACTTCGTCATTGACCGGGATCATGCTATTGCTTGCTGTGATTGACTCTCTTCGCGTCCTGCAAAGACGTTCGTACCCGTTCCTCTTTTTGTAGTGTACGGAAAAAACCCGGTGAAACCGAAGGCCGAAAAAAAATGTTTCCATCTATACACTTCTTTGCAAGTGGAATACCGGTTTAATCTCGCACCGCGCGCCGAGGTGAGGTGAGAGGGACTTGCTCTCCAACCAGGGCGTTCGCTGTTTGTCGTACAATGTTGTCAGGCGTCTGTTGCTCAAGTAGACACCACTGAGCGCCGAGAGATATCTAAAAGCTATTTATAAAACACACAGGCATTGACTTTGGCCGAGAAAGGACGCAAAACATTAAATAAAATATCAGAACCAGTAGTAACCAACCGAGACATTAGTAAAATATCTAAGATGTCAAAGGTCATATCAGAATGCACCAGAAGCTCCTTCCACACCCGCATTGCCGCCAGCCAGTGCTCATTAGAAAGTATCACTGACTCCAACTTGCCCCTGGCTCACCCCAACATGGCGCGAACGTTAGGTGGTACCAGCATCGCTAAAAATGGCAGCGCACAATAGCCTTTCTTGCAAACGTGTATGCAGGCTTTTTGACACAATTGTGACGGTTGCGTTTCCAACAACCAAAACGACAGAAACGATCAGAACACCGGGATAGCCATGACTCATGATTGATTCCCGAAGCTATCTCTTGCATCCCTTGCCACGTCGGGTACGGCGAGCTCTTGTCCCGGTGACTTCGTCGTTGCTGTCGTTTCGGTTGCTGCCAGCAGAACCGACACAAAGTAAACTAAGCTTTCATGGTGCGCTTACACTTGCGAATTCGTGGGCCGATCCACGCCGGCGACAAGCGGATTTTGGAGTCGGGTGGCGAAATCCGATCGTCGCTGGCGAAAAATCTGGCTCGGTGCGGAACCGCGACATACAGAGTTTCCGTCAGCGACGAGTCGATTTGGTCACCGCGCACCGAAATCCACGCGGATTCGCCCGCGAACCCGCAAGTGTACAAGAGAGCATTAGGTAGAAACGTTTTGGTGGCCTCGTACTTGGCCGAGCTATCTACATGCATCGCGGTGATTTGCTGTGCAAGGGCTCCGCGAGAAAGTAGACGGACGGGGACACTCTTTAGAGTAAACAGTATACTTCGATCACTTCTTTCAGCTTGGTCTGGTTCTGAAACTGCCCCTCCCCGCTCTCCCCGGCCTCTCCAGCTATCCAGGGCTTGGCATATCGGATTCCTTCTAATCGAGCGCAGCATCCCATACGTATCGGTGGCCTGCTGGAAATTTTATTTATATATTTGTACATACTGCGACCTCAATTGAGGCCATTGAAGGAGTAGAAAATAGTGCTTAAAGTGAATAAATATCGAACGACAAACAAAAACAAAACAATGGAAATATTCATTTGACAACCACACATCAAGGCAGGGTAAGTTTCCTTATTTATAATATAAAGTCATCAAAGGGAAGCATGCACGCAGATCCATCAAGACTGTTCCATAACTCAATAGTGCGAGGAAAAAAAATATTTTGTAAAACAATTGATATGAAATCTAAATGGAACAATGTTCAAAGCATGAGATCGTCGGGTGCGAGTGACATCTGTGAAATTATTGTAGCTTACGCGCTGGATGCCACAATCGCCATTAACAATTTTATGAGACATTTTCAGCCGCTCGACAGTCCGCCTGGAAGAAAAAAATATTCAATTTCCAATACTGACACAGCAGACGATGGTGAGAAATGTCGCTCATACATATTTTAAATAAACCTAATAGCCTTACCTGGATATTTATTTTCGACATTTTCATGTTTTCCCGGCCGGCATAGGTCTGAGGTAGTTCTGTCTCTCTCCCGGTTCATGGTACCATAACGTATACTTTGTGGGACTATAGCTTACTTTGCGTGTTTGGGTTCGCTACACGCTCCTACTACTTTATTAGATTGCACACTCTCATAGTAAATTTATTTGGTAAATTTGAAATTGACTTGGGAGCGCTTTTTTGTTGGGATCTTCTCGAGTGTGCATCTACTGCACTAGAGGCGCGAACATTGAACGCCTTTGCATCGCTCGAAATCCACCAAGGTTAAAAACCCTTTTCACTGTTCCGTCTGGCCACTTCAATAACAATCATCATCTAAATGTATATCACCTGTACCTGCTAATGACGTCCTTTTGATGGCTGGTAAAGGAAGAATGGTGTAGACGGGCACCGATTCGGAGGCTGACCATTCCAAACGTTAGTTTGCTGTATTGTTGTTATGTGTCACCGTTACAAGACTTATAAACTTTAATGCGCTTCGCATTTGAAAGTGTCATGTAAATCCTTGTAATGTTCGACTTCAGGACGCCCCAGACAGCTCATGACAATAAAATGTTAATTTTATCTATAATCTTATCTTACTAGACGCCTCGCAGAGAGTGGTAGTTTCTCGACACTATTAAAATTGAAACAAATAGAGAAGCGATTGGACAGCAAAAAACACCGTAACTTTCATTCATTGGCCGTTGACGAATGTATATAATTTAACGGCTATTAGCATGCAAAAATGTAGACTGATATTTGAGCCACCAGATAGTCCTGAATTCGGGAAAGAGTCTGTTCTACATGCGTTATAGAAATGACTAAAGATGGAGATGACCAACCTTCCACTATGACCTTGATGTCGTCCGGATGGCTGTAGTATCCCGTGTTGATAAGCGGGGGATCGTCGGGGTTGCTGGAACGAAGCTTGACTTCTCCCCTTGACTTTGGTCGGAGCACGAAGGGGACCATAGTAAAAACAGGCTTGTCCCGGTGAGGAAGGTAATATTTAGCGTACACCTGGGAAACACAAAACAGGTAATAAGTTTTTTACGCTGGATAAAGCACTTCACGATTAAAGAAATTGGGTAACTGGTTGCGGGCAACTTAGAAGATACCGTCGCAGCCGAAACTCTGCAATCGCTGCAGAATTAGTAAAAGCACGTATGCCTACACTATTGTGGTCGGATTTGCATTCCGAGATAACAAGACGTAATTGTGCTTCTGTGCAAATTAACAAAAAAAAAAAAAAAAGACCGCAACCTTTAAGCAGGTGCGTTATATGACACCTTTCTTTTGTGTTCCTTTCAAAAGATGACACTACATATAACTGAAAGAGCGTGAAAAAGCGGAACGCAGACGACTCATGCGTCAAAGCCACCGTGGTCATTATCTCAATGACAATCTTCTATGTTAACGTCCCCACCCATGTTCAATATGAGACATATATGTTTGATTACAACTATTTTCTTCAATCTGGTCGATCATAGATGACTTGATAAAAAAAACCGCCTCGCGTGCATTGTACGAACGCACGGGTAGTTCCTAGGCGACTTCTGGTTGGCCAGAGGGCGTGTTTGCCGAAAAGTTCAACTCGTGTTAGGTGCCATTTGCATGACAATCATCCAAAGGCATTACCGATATTTCCCTCTCTCCCTCTTTCTCTCCCTCTCTTTTTTCTTTCTGAAATATTATATGCAACATTTCGCAATTCAGCCCCGAAAAGAGCGGTCAGATACCTCGGCGTTGATACGTACGCAGAGGTGTAGATCTTAGGAGGGAAGGTGGAGGGGAGGGGGGGGGGGGGTCCTTTGCAAGTGTGATTTAAAAACGAATTTTAAAAACCTACGGAAGCTATTTACCTCGACATATCCTGCTCTAAAACGGGACTTGGGAGCAACCTTCACCACATCTGATCGTTTGATAACCCTCTAGATTCCATAAAATTTACCAATTAAATGGACCATGAAAATAATTTTGGGCAGAACTAAATGAGTTTAGTTTGTGATTTTACTAATCACATATTGTTTAGTGAGCCAAAAGAAAGAGGGTAGAAAGTCAAATCCTGCTTTCGGTACAAAAATTTGAAAATATAGCGGACGATTTTTTACCTCCTTTCCCTCGAAAGCTCTCCGCCTTTTCACCGCGATGCATCGGCGGTGTCCAAGCGCGTCAGCCGAAACCAGCTCAAGCACTGAACACGAGACCTACGTCATTCGGACGTGCGCGCTCGTTAACAATCAATCCGTCGACGAGTATTGGGATTCGCGTTTGTGGTCAATAAGGCCGTGACGGCACTCCTCATTACTTGCGAAAGACAAATTCCAAGGTGTGCTCAAAAAGCACGGTGGAAGCTTGGAGTTATCGCATCCGGCGCCCACGCACTTCACGACCACCTGGTTGTTGATTTTGCTTTTGAGTTGAGGATAAAAGCTAAGAACGAAAAAGTTAAGAAAAGTCATCTCACGCAACGATCTCACGGTCCCTTTAAAGGGATACTGAACCAAGAAATTTAGTGTCCATAATAAGTGGCGCACGTTCTTTCCACGAGAGAGCACGTGCGAGAAAGCATTTTTGTTGCGTGCACACGCAACAAAAATGACGTCAAAGACCTCCATTCGCGGTTAAGATGACAGTGAAATGTATGGGCTTCGCGCCAAAGGAGAATAAAGACAGGGTTTTCATCTACACAGTGGTGCCTGGTGTAAAAAGTAAGCGATGAATTGCTCTAACAAGCACGTAGCTTTCACGTGTAGAGATGCAAATCCTGTCTTTATTCTCCCTTGGTTCGAAGCCCATGCATTTCACTGTCCTTTTAAGCGCAAATGGAGGTCTTTGACGTCATTTTCGTTGCGTGTGCTCGCGCACTCCGGCGGCTGCTGGCTCGTGGAAAGAACGTGCGCCACTTATTATGGACACTAAATTCTTTGGTTCGGTATCCCTTTAAAGGGGGCACGGAAACGAAATGTTTGCTTTTATTTTTTTGTTTAGATATGATCTATGTTATGGCGGCAGCCCATAAACACTAGTGTAGACTATTAGCGGCGAGATGTTTTGGTGGCGCCCTCCTACGGTTCCCCCTTGTGACGTAATTACCTTGCAAACAACAAGTTCGATGGTGGAAGCTTGAGATCATTGCGCTCTCAAAGGAACACTGCCAACACCGTCAAAATTAAAGTTCTTTCATTCTTCTTATTTCCGTCGATGATAAATCCTTTTCTGACGTCATAGTCAGCGTTCGGCCAATCGTGGAAGGCCGACCACAGCGACGCTTTCGGTCGCGCACGTCGCCAATTGCGTCTGGGCTGCCGGCAGAAAGGTTGAAGAAATTAATTTTAAAACGAATGAACATATTTCAAGATTGCACCTGGTGGCGGTCTGTGAAGCTCCGTTGGGAAGCCGCCACTTCATCGGTCACTGAAAAGCAGCGCCAGTTTGCGGCAGTGTGGCGCTCTCGTGGAGCTACTTAGTCTTGAATGTGACTTGGCAGAGAACGATAACGAGTCTACAACTTTGTGTATGTTATACCCGTGCCACACAAGCAACACGAATGTAATTTACAACGAATAAGATTTGTGTGATTCAGGTCGCCATCTGTCGCGCGTGGAATGCGCTACGCCCGGAGTGTCGCGCGCTGATTGGCCGTCCGCTCAAATGTCATTCGTTGTAAGTGGCATTCGAGTTGCCCGTGTGGCACAGGTAGTGTGACAGTGCCACTAGAGAGCCATACTGCTGCGAACTGGCGCTGTTTCTCAGAGGCCGATGACGTGAAGGCATTCCAACGGAGCTTCACAGACCGCCAACAGGAGCAACCCCGAAATCTGTTCATTCGTTTCTAAATTAGTTTTCTTGACTTTTCTGCCGGCAGTCCATAAGCACTAGTATAAGCTAGTGTTTCTGGGCTGCCGCCACAACAAAGACCACGTCTAAGCAAAGAAATAAGTGCGAACATTTCATTTCCGTGCCCCTTTAAGCTTCGCGGTCGTCTGAATATTTCCTGAAGTCACAAATCGCGTGGCGCCTTACTTGAGCTCAGTGTTTACGGAGCATGCTGAGAAGAAACCCCTACCCCTGCCACTGTCTCAGAAGAACTACAACCTTGATGACGTGAAATATGCGTTGCAGAATGGTTGCAAGAGCTCATCGTAAGCTCGCGCTCAGCAGCAACGAACTAAGCAATGGCCGCCAGTGAATACTGCCAATTGATGATATTTACTGGACGCCCTATTTGAGGTGACTGCTCACAGCGCACGCTCAGGATGAGCTCTTATTTATGGTCTCCCAAAGAACACAATATTGATGCTGTGCAATGTGCGTGTTGGAAGCGCCGTGGAAGCTTGACGACAGCACGTGCTCAGCAGCAGCGAGCTCAGCTATGGCCGCCAGTAAATACCCCAGAGGCTTACTTCTTCTTTAAGGCCCATGCCGCGTATATAGGGCTCGCTGTACGCCGAAGTGGGCGGGATGGTGTTGAGCATGATCTCGACGTCCGGGAAGTCGTCGCTCTGGTTCGCGTACTTGGTCTTTATGAAGGCGATGCCCTCGATGCCGCCGGGGATCGTCCATGGTCCTGGAAGGACCACGCTTTCAATTGAGCGCACACTCACGCCTACTCACGCCTATTTACCCAAGCACCAAGAAGCGTGTCACGATGAGTTTAGTTACACGCGCTGCAGCTGCTGGCATCTGAAGTACTTACTACCTTTCCCTCTGAGTGCGAGCGAGGCCGAAGCTACAAGCGCGAGCATGTGGCCATAAAAGTATGCTTCTACTGCACGAGCGCACGTGCTTGGCAGGGACGCTGAAAGCCCGGAGCCCGATCTTGAATCTTCTGCTACGCTCACACTAAGTGAAAATGACGAAAAAAAAAAAAAAAAAAATTTGCAGGAGTGTTTGCCAACGCCTTGTTTGGGTTATTTTCTTCGCATCTTTTTTTATGGTAAGGTGAGTGCGTGCAACGTGTATACTAACGTTTCCAGCATTATCTTGGACAATTTGGAACAAAGTATGTTAGTTCATCCAATACATTGTAGTGTGCAAAAGTTCACCAATGGTTATTGTTAATTAGAAGCTATACGTCTTATTTATAAATATCAGAACTAATTTTGAAACCAGAGTTGGCGTTTTTAAGAAATGTGTCTATCCTAAATCTAAGGTTTCTTCGGTAGGAGTTATTGTATACATTATTTGCTTCGCAATAAATAGACTAATATTGGTAAAGCGTCGCATTAAACATAGCAATACTTCGTTTCGCCTTAAGTCAGACGCGGTCGACGCTATGGGCACATGGGGCCAATTAAGTAGCTATAAAAAGGCAACGTCAAAGCGTTAGTCAGCTTTCTGTTCTTGAGGAACTATGGGTCAATCATGCGCACTGAGTGCGCCGTGACCTTGGGTTGCTAGTATTAGCGATGTGCGCGGCCAAAAGCGTCGCTGTGGTCAGCTTTCCACGATTGGCCAAATCATGGGTATATGAGCACGGTCAGATTGTCAACTTTGACGGTGTTAGTTTCGGATTGCGATGGCTCCTAGCTTCCACTGTGCTTTTTAAGCACACCATCGAACTCGTCGTCGCACCCGATGGTAAGTAGCCAGAATAACAACTGGTGACGTCACGGCGAGGCGAATCCCAGTCGTGACGTCACGGAGGGAAGCCATAAGAGGGAGCCACCGAAACATCTCGGCGCTAATAGACATTTTCCACAGGAGCGCCGCCATCTTGAATTGTCGTCACTTCCAGTATGGGCGACGACAAAATAGTAAAACGTTTCAACCTGTAACTAGTAAAAAAATAGAGGGGAGCTAAAACGAGAATGTGTGACAGTTAGGCTTATATCCTAAATGTCTTCCATTAGCGTGGTGACGGCAAAGAAATGTTTTCGCCCATACTGGAAGTGACGACAATTCAAGATGGCGGCGCCCTTGTGGAAAAGGTCTATAGCGGAAGCGGAAACTAGGACTTGGCCTGCGGTGTACGACGTCATCGACGAGGACACCACGTGATATAGCGTGCGTAACCAACACCTCCTGATAACAAAGCCGTTGCGCTGAATGAGATGGCGCCATCAGCGAAGGCCAACGCCAGGCACAGATTGGACACGCCGATTGCGTCAACGTTCGGCTCAAACTTGACTCGAAGCCGAGCGCTGACGCTGCACTCGTTTCCAATCTGTGTCCAGCGTTGGCCTTCACTGGTGACGTAAAAATGTCAGCACTACGGCCTTGTCTTCTAGGCGGTGTTGGCGCAACTATCGTTTGTTTGCCGCGCCCTTTTCCCTGACGCAGGCAGCGTCGCGTGAGAATAACAGAACGCTGGCTCAACGCCCCGTTAATATCGCCAGGGCCGGACACGCTCCTGGTCACCCTCCACAAAACGCTTACGTACTTCACTCGACGTTCAAACCAAGCGACGCACTCTCGTGTAAAGCACAGCCTCCGTGGATCTATCATTGTATATGGCAACTAGATACCAGAGTAGCGACACGACGCTGACAGACCTAGATGCACAACGTCAGGAGCACCAATAGTGTCTCCATCTTGGGTCTGGTGGTTACCTGCTAGTGGTGTGGTGGTACGTTCTTATTATGGGTCACAGTATTTCTGTATCCGTCGAATGAAGCGCTCTAAAAGTCGGTTAAAATTAGTAAACGCTACATAAAAGCGTGACTGGCGTACCGGCAGAAACATATCTGAAGTTTCGAGCGCCTCAATCATCTTATGTTCAACGCACGCAGAGACGCGCACTGGCAGTTTGAACTGTGCTCTACTAGAGAAGCAAAAAAGGCAGGCGGGCTGCGCTTCAAATTATCCAAACGCTACACTCCGGTTCACCTTATGTTGTACCGCAGCGAAGGCTAGATGCGCGAGCTCATAGCGTTGGCAGCCGCCCTTAATGCACGAGAGCTTGTGCCGCCGAGATCTGTCCTAGAGAGCAAAGAGCTCGCGCTTGTAGCCTTTCCTGCGGTACATGATAAGGTGAAATAGAGTATAGCTCGGCAATTGTCCGCCTTGTTCGGCTCGGGCGGTTTATATACGGTACCGCGCTAGACCGATCGTTGCGAGAGGTGGCGCAGGGAAAAGCATACAATTACGTACAATTACTCGAGCAGCTAAAGCTGTCGGCTCTAATAGAGCTGTTCCTCGGAATGTATGTTTATTCAACCCAATAAAACAAATATCTCGGTTCCTTAGCGCGTCCTGCAAATATAGCCGAGACTCTGCACCCTGCTGCGCTCAGGTACAACTCTGTGCTGCGGTCAGGCACGATTCCGTGTCAAATTCATCGAACTTAAGTCAAGCTGAATACAAAGGACGATGTTCATGTGAGCTCACGTATCGCCACGGCACGACGTGACACATATGGCATCGCGGGGCATCATGACGTCACGTGAAATAAAATTTCTACTACGCATAGCGGAGAAATTTTTGCACAAAATTTAGCGAATACATTTTCCAGCCAAATTCGTCGAAGAAATCTTTCCGCTGAATTTAGCGGGCCACAACGGACTCAAAACACACGCGTGGTATCCGCCGCGAAACCTCGCCAATACGTGTATCGTCTTAAAAGTATTCCTGCCTGTGTGAAAACGGTAGTAGTCCAGGGCGCCTTTGACGCCTCCGAAGCCTTCGTTGAAACTCTCGTTCACGTGCACGGAGGCTCCGCCGACGAGAGTGTGGTCCTGGAGGTTCTTTCCCACGGGCAGGTCAGCAACCACGGGAATCTGCAGCATCGACAAAAGAATGCAATTCTGCTACTGGTGCCACCGCTCCTACGATGGCGGGGAATGTTTGCTGCAAGCTAAATTTTTTTTTTTTTTTATTATTATAAAAGCTGGTTTACACATTTGGGTCGACTTTTCTACATCGGAGCTGTCAAGGGTACTCAGTATTGTGCGTAGAGTTTTTATAATATACGCTAGAGGTTGAACTGGCGCTACTGTCTATGCGATTTCCGGGAGGCAAATTGAAGCCTACAGCAACCAGTCTACTTCTACGGTGCTCCTGTGCATTCCTGTGGGAAAACGCGCCTGAATTTTGTCTCCTCGCCGGAAAAGAACATAAATAACTTTTGCTATTTCGGTTGTACCGGATAGTATGTACTTTTATTAATGTTGTGAAAGTGTAATTTCTTTAGTTACGGCATTTTTCTTTACCACTGGTTCATCTTAAACTTCACTATATTTCAGGCCCAAACGTCTGTTCCATGGGAGGTATGTAAAAAACGAGCAACGATTCTAAGCAAACTGACGATCGAAAAGAATGTAGAGTGTGTTCAAGGTTCGCTAGTATTCCGGTGGCTCTTATATATTGCGAATATGGCCGTCCTGTCACTTTATGAATATTACTGTCACACGACGGCGTCGTGCATCTTTAAGATCGCGGTTAAAAAAACATTTGAACGTAAAAAATAAAGTATGTGGGCTACGAAAGGTCTTTTTTTTCTTCTTATTTCCTATGTCGGTCAGTTTTTATCGGGCACCTGTTCTTTGGCTTCTCCCTATTCGAAGATATTTGGAGTGTGCGGGTGATGATATGAAACCAGAACAAGCATCTTGGCACATATTCATGAGCAGAAAGAATAAAGTAGTACTTATTTTTTTGCAAATCGGACTATATTTCGTGGCTTTCGATTTATTTCAAACGTCTGCGTGCACAAGGAGTTACTTATCCAGTGTTACTGCGAAGTTTTTGCCGTCTCTCTTGGTTTTCCACGTGTCCTTCGTTCGTTTGGCCCGTATATCCCCCATGCTTGAAAGCACCGACGCCATGTTCGCGCTAACAGTGTCCGGCAGTGCACATAAATACATGTTTGAAGCGGTTTTAGCACCGTCTTTCATGCCACAAATTTAAAATAATGACGCCGTAACGGACCGATTATTTCATCTGCGTGGCAGAGAAATGTTCCAATGTGCCTAGTACGTACGAATTATTCGTGATATTTGCTCTTATAGTCGGGCGCAGAGGGAAGTGCCCTCGCTTTTTCTCATAGAAATGCATTACCGGAAGTCAACTTCCGACTGGTTGCTGTCTGCTTCAATTTGCAGCAGCACGCTGGCGCCAGTTGAACCTTTAGCATAATAATAATAATAATAATAATAATATTTATTTTGGTTCAGGAGAACCGCGGTGCCGCAGAAAGGCAAGTAGCCCATACCAGGAAGGCCTGCGGCGCCGCATCTAAGGACGATGGGATGAGATTGTGTACAGATGACAGGGAGGTGCTGACGATGTTGAAATGGAGCTTGTCGGCGAGGGTGGCGGGATGATGTTACGGGTGATGTGGGTTGTACCCTCTTGTAGAATTTCTGCGGCTCTGGTCCTCCTGCCTCGCCGAAAGTTGGTCTTGTGAAGCCACCGGTGCGGCGGGTGGACTTATCATCGTCAGGCCGAGTAGGACGGCTGCCTCCGGGATGGAACCGGCTCGCGGCGCGCCGGGCTTCTGCTAGGCTTAACGCGGCTGCCACGAAAAATATTCATAAGTCCAGTGAACTTGCACTCACCAACGCGAAACCGGTACCGATGAGCTCTAAATCGCTTAAGGGGAGGCCATGCTGTCGGTGACCGCCGGCAGTGGAGACCGAGGGTCACCAGAGCCGGTGGAAAAAACCGTACCTAACGGAGCCGATAGAACTTGCGTATAATATACATTATAATAACTCTATGGTATTGTGTCCATGGGCAGACAAATCTCGACAAAAAACTATGGACAGCTACCGCCATCAATTAGCAACGGCGGCAACCTTTCCAGCCTTTCCCTCTGGCTTGCCGACTTGCGGCCGGCCATTACTTCATTCCCACCTTCGCTGGTCTTCCTTCTACACCAGAGTGGAAAGGCAGAATTTTTTTTTTTTTTACTTAAACGAAGAGAAAGAAATTGACGTCGAAGTTGATGACGTCCAGGGTGCACATGTCACTTTCGATAGGGAAGAGATTTTGGAGGAAAAGGGCATGGTATGCAAAAGGTACGAACTCTAATTAATAACTAAAATATAATAAAAATAAAATGAGAAGATAGATTGCGGTAGGAAAACTTAACTTCTCAGGTTGGCTTTGTCTTGGGCAGTCAGAGTGCGGGAGGGGATAACCCTAGGATCCTGGCAACAGTGTGTCCATCTTGAGTTGAGGCTTTTTTGACGCATAGGCATAGGCACATATAGATCCATTTAATGAGCTACGCTTAGAGTATCGGCATTCCGTTCCCAGGTATTGTTGTGGTCGCCGCCATCTTGGTGCTCAGTGCAGAGCAGACGCAACTTTCGATCGTCACAATTAAAAAATGCGACTTCCCTCAGGTTTACATGCGGTGCCAACAAGCTTATGTGACATTGTTTTGCTCTGTCGCGAACTGTTTTGAAATGTCCGGAGGACGGAAAAGCGTTTCCTGTGATCTCAGACAAAGCTTCAGATAACTGCTTCCCATGACTTTGAGGCGCAAGATGGGTAAGTGTCGTTACCCTGAAGCGCAGCTTCTTTAGTGGCTCTAGGCACCTAGTGCGCCAGGCCGCAGTCTTGCTGGTCGCTGGTCAGACTCTTAGAGGACATTTAGGAGCTCCGTGTCTCTTAGGTAGGTTGCTACTTTTATGAGCGCTGCGTCTGTCACCGATCTGGACGCTCTCGGACGAATGAGTTATTCCTGGCTGGTGCTGGGTGGCTTGAGCCGCGGAAAAGCCTCCTTGAGGACGGTTCGCTCCCCTTCATAATCGGGGGAGTGCAGGCGTCGGCAGGCACTTCGCAAGTATGACAGTCGCTGTCGAAATCTGGCCTGAAACGACCTATCTATGCTGGGGTAAATGTACTTCCGGTCCGCAGGCGGTACAGTACCGCGGCTGTTTGGCGGTCGAGGGCGTGCGGGAGACGGGCTGGAAAAGCGCCTGCCACAACCCCCGGGTCCGGGTGTTGAAGGATGACGGCTCTCCTCACGAGGAGCTTGGCGTCCGAAAACTGAGGGACTTTCGAGAGTGGGCATCTTGGGTTTTTATGGGCCCGCACCGCCAGAAAGTCGGCAACTTTGTTCCCTCGGATGCCGCAGCGGCTCGGAATCCACTGAAAGGCAATTTCCTGTCCTTTGTGCTGAAGCTCTACTTTATACTTCGCGTAACTGACAATGCCAGAAGCGTGGCGCGTTCGAGTCCATCCAGTAGTGTGAAAACCGATCTCGAGTCACTCAGGACAACCCGGCGCGGTCCCCGTGCGCAGCCCACTCGAATATCCCAGAGGGCGAGTCGTATGGCCGACAACTCCGCGGTGGTGGGGGATGCCTGGTGAGCCAGGCGCTCGCTGGTGTCCGCGGCCTCTGCTTGAAATAAGGTACCCGCCGTTGCCGCATGCCTTCGGAGCGGTGTACTGATCCGTCAGTGTACACGCGGGTCCATCAATCGAACTGGACACAAAGGTGTTCCTCTGTGAGCTGTCGCGCGGCGACCGCCGCTGTGTTCTTCTTGGTTCGCATTCCTGAGATACCGAGGTTAACCCTCTGCGGGTGAGCCTCTGTGTGCAGCGCTGAAAGGGGGCTTGTGGTCAGGGTGTTCTTGCCATGTCGTTGAGGGTGCAGAGGGGCGCTCCTAGTTTTAACTCGGCCCGCCCAGCGATCCTCATCAAGAGTGGGATGGTGGAGTCGCAGTTGCTCATGCGAAGGAGATGAACTACCGCCCGTTCTTACATGACGTTCTTCACTGAATTCAACCCGGCCTCTGTGAGCGTGTGCCTCGACAGTTGCGTGCGGGGGATTCTAAGACAGATTTGGAGGGCGACACATTGTGCTTGCTTGAGATTTTTCAACTGGTTTGCGCAGAGTTGGACGAGTGGTAAGGCGTATAGGGGACGGGCTAGAATAAGCCCTCTATACAACTGCAGCAGCATCTGTGATATGAGGTGCCCCAAAGGTTCCACCGAGCGAATGGAGGACGTTTGTTTGCGCTTTCAGCCTTCGGAAATCTTCCTTCATCGCTGGGCCCCAGGACAACCTCATGTGGAGCCATGTGGGAGCTGCTACAATGGGCTGATGGGACGTTGCATTAATGACAGAGTCAGGGAGCACGCGGCGTCGGTGCAGAGGACCGGGGCTGGGCACCTTGCAGCCCATTGCCGCACGTGCGGCTGCAGGCCAAGTTTTAGCAGCGTTTCCATTATTAAAAGACACAGAAATGCTTTTGCGCGCGAGATTCTCGAGGCCCTGGCCATTGAGGAAAGCGCCGATGACTGCGTGAGCATGCCCTCCATCACGGTCAGCAAGAGAGAAAGGCAGTTTTTGCAGTGTGACACGGCCCCGTGAAAGAGAATAAGAGGGATATGTGGGGGGGGGGGGGGGGGGGGACGGTGCTTTGTGGGTGGCACGGTGAGATTGGGTGGGATGTAATTAACTTATTTTAATTTATTTTTATTTTAATTTAGTATTTTAATTTAGTAGTATAATATAAGGATTTAGGTTGATTCATTGGCATTTTTTTAGGTGTGAATCTTTGGGTGAGAGTGATGAAGAAGAGGTATAAAGTCTTAGCTGATACTCAGCGGTGTGTATGTCTCTGTTTCTCCCTGTCTGTGTTTTGTCCGTATCGTTCTAGCTGACCGTTTACTTTTACTTCTACTGAAACTTTCTATTTCTGTCATAAATATCTGCGGAGAACGCCGTGTCTTTTTGTACGGTGTACGAGCAGCTTGACCCCTGCTTAATGTAAGGTTGCGGGCCAAATAGTCCCCACCTGAAGCCTAGATGGCTGAATGTACCTTCAGCTCTTCGAGGTGCTCTCTGGGGCCGATTCCGGACAGCATGAGGATCTTGGGCGAGTTCATGACGCCCGCCGACACGATGACCTCCTTCTTGGCGTGCACGATGTACTTGCGCTTTCCCTTCATCAAGGTCACGCCCGTGGCTCGCCCGTTCTCGATCAAGATCTGCAAGACGAATGACGCGGTGATCGTCAGAGCGACCGCGGGGTTCGAACCTCAACTAGCGAGATGTTCGACTCGAATTTCAAGCTGGCCGGCCAGCAGAGACGTGGACACACTGCGCGAAAACCGTGGCTCGAAAATCGGTTATTGGGTTCTAGAGTCAATTCCTTCTCCGTGGCTATGTGCAGTGACGTCATAGAGCACCCATATATTTTGTATTTTGTTTTATACAATCTAACTTGGATATTATTTAAAGTGATAGAGTCCAGAAAACGAGACTTTTATTAGAGCCGCAAGAAAATAACAAAGTACGCGTAAATTTATATTTGTAGTTTATTTTTTAACGCTATGCAGCTTGGTAGCGAATAAACTTTTTTAAAGCATGCAGTGCTATCCACGGCTCCAAAGTAAATGCCGCGAACTGACTGTATGAAACTTTATCTAGCAGGTGACGGAGGCCACCTTCAAGACGGCGAGAATACGGATGCGATAGGGGCAAGAGCAAACGAGGAAAACTGCGCTACCATGCGCTACCATGCATCTCTCTTTCTCTCTAGTGTCATATGGATGATGCAGTGGAGGCCAGGTGGTTTTCATAATTTGTTGCGCGTATCGTGCGCGGGCTTGAGGGATTTTTGCGAGAAGTCTAGCGACCCGATAAGAAAACTGCAGGTGGAAAGGTCTTCCCGCTTCACGGTCTCTCGGGCTCTCACCTTTGTGACCTTGGAGAAGATGGATACGTGCAGGTTCCGCCTTCCCTCGCGACCCGCCACGGGCAAGACGTAAGCTTTGGCCGTCGACCAGCGCTCCTTGCCACGCACCGTGAACTGTGTGGCGCCGAACCCTGCAGGTCGTGGAGAGGTCATGATACCAAAACCCGTACCCGAATCTGGCTAAAGGTTGGCGTGCGAATCACTGAGGCGAGTTCACCTCAGTCCTCCACCCCCCGTAAACCAGACGGTATGACGTGCATGACAACGCGCCAATTAGAGTGGGAAAATTGACCTGTTGACTTCCCCCACCAACTTTTCCCTAATAAGCGACCCAGCAGGGGCTCGAGTACGAAGGCGGCCTTAGCGGACTCGGACCTACACTAAATAGGTTTTCTATTTCGTTAACAGCGGAAAACAAAAATATTAACAATCACTGCCTTCCATGGATAACGCTTGGCGATTGACGAGGCTTAAAATATGTTTAAGCCTGAAAGAACAGCATGAGCTGCGTAGACGCCATTTAATGTTCCTAAATATAAAGAAACTATTTTCCTTTCTTAAGCTGTGCACCGGTTATTATTTTTAACCGATTAATATATGACCTTTGGTCAATAAACTGATCTCACCAGCCAGTTTGACTACGCCACCGCTGCCGCAATGCATCGAAAAAACTTTAGTTTTTCAGCAAGTGCGGCAACCTCGCTGGAGCCCTACGCGTGTAGAAAAAGGAGACGTCACGAGCTCTCTCGTGCATCGCGGTCAGCCTCCTGTGAACTAAAGTTATGGTGGCGTCACGCATGCGCAGAACTCTCAGTGAGATCATTTTATCGCTATAATGGCTCTAATGTGAAGCGTAATAAAATTGTTCATTTAATTAGAAAGCATAAATATATCACGGTGCAATCGAGGAACGCAATTACTGGAATTCGTATGGCAAGAACTACGTTTTATTGAAGCCAATTTAATGTATCTCTTAGTTTTTTTGGCCCGCATTCAAGTGGCATGGGTTGGCGGTAGATGCGGAAAAATGGACAGTCTGAAATGCACGCGTCTTTTTTTTTTTTTTTACTGACGTGAAGTGTATATGCACCTAATAGACTATGCTCACCCATGAGCTGACAGTGCGGTGGAAGCTATATGCTCGCCGGACCAAAGAACCGCCTCCCTTTTATCACGTGACCCCATCCTCAGCTCGTGGGTGTGGATGAAAGCGCGATCCCGTGGCAAAGGATAGACTTGCGACTGGACCAGCAAACACGTAGCTTTCACCGCACTGCCAGCTGAGGGGCAAACGGAAGGTGAGCATATACTATATCAGTAATTGAAAAGTCTGTTATTCTCAGCCGGGTTTGGTTGCGGGGGGTGGCAGGATCGACATCACTGGCGCTCTCTCAATTAGTTTTGGGTTGAAACGGAGTACAAGGATGTCGTTTCTGGATTGACAAAAAATAATGTTGAGCATCAAGAAGCAACTTTTTGCTGAGTGAAAAGTGTCTTTAGAAACCGAAAGACACAAAAAAAAACAAAAAAAAACGTTATGCCTTTCTGGGAAGCTTATTCTGCACAGCCAATAAATCTGGAACAGCACTCCTTAAAAATGCGGACAGAAAATGTGACGTAAATTAGTACACGTCAAGATTCTCCCTCTGTGTTTTACAAAACGGACCGCTCGAGGGACTTTACAACGCGGAAGTCGACAAACAAAAATATATGTCCCATTTCTGTGTAGAAACATTTCCCCGTGTAGCTTGTCGGAAATGGGACGCAATCATTTTCGCTGAATCGAAACACGAAACACACGAGCGATTTCCACAAAAGAAATTATCTCGCGTGATTTGTTGTTTGTTTTTTGTTTTCTGTTTCAGTAAAAGTTTAAAGATTTTTTGCCTGTTTCGAGCTCCGCCCGATTTTGGATTCGTTTTGAAGAAACATCCGTTTCGTTATTCAGTGCTCGTCCGTGCTGCGTTTAGATACATACATCACGGTACCCTTAACCTGTGATGGCAGTAATGACATTACTGTAATTAAATTACTTTTTGGAATAATGAGTAATGTAACGAATTACTTCACTAGGCTAGTAATTTAGTAATGTAATTAATTACTTTCAGACAGTAATTTCGAGAAAATTACTTATTACTTTTGTAACTCTTTTGTCCCAAATTAGAAAGTTCGTTTGCGAGCTTTAAAAGATAAGAATAAAATATTTCGAATTGTGGAATGTCGTCAATGAGATATCAGAGCAAATAAACGACGGTCACCTGAGCGCAAAGTGTTGTACAAAGAAGTTGACAGGCGCACAAAGGTGGGCTAGAAAGACGAAGGAGGAAAGTTTATGTATAAAGACATAGGTGGAGGGCCTCGGCTCACGACCTCCAAGCAAGACAGATTCACGGCGTCGCGTCATCAGGACGATACTACACTTCATTCATCCCTAAGCTGGCAGTGCGGTCAGAGCTGCAAGCTAACCAAAACCAATCAAACACCTTTCTTTTATCACGTGCGCCGTTCGTTCCTCGCCGCGCGGGTATTAACGAGAGCGTGGCGACGTGGCGAACGATAGACATGTGAGTGCTCCAACAAACATGTAGCTCCACCTTTCATCCCTAAGCTGAAAGTGCGTCGGCTTAGGAACGAACGGCTCATAGGCTACAAGGTGACGGCCACATTGCCAGTGAGTGTGAGGACAGCACTGTGTGAGGACAGCACTCTGTGAGGACAGCACAAACAGACCCCCAGCCTTGTACTTTTGCCAAGCAAGGTCAAACCGTAAGCTCCGACCATTGTGAACAACAAACAGACTAAATAAATACAGGGTGTCACACAAAAAAAAATGACAGGTATTGTTTTACCGCAACAATAAACTAGGCATCGCTGAACGCTCATTCTTCGCCCAAAAGTAGCGCTAGACGTCACAATCAGATGCCAAAGTTTCAGCTCGATCCGATAACTTATTCAAAAGTTATAAGTGATTTTCTGAAAAGTTCAATGGGAAAATGGAGTCAATTTTTGCCCGGTTTAGGTGTCTGGCGCCATAGAGCCCCATGCATTCGAAAACTCTGTCGGCCGCAAAGTGATTGTAATTTAATTACTGCGGTAATTTGTAATGTAATTTAATTACATTTTTGCAGTTTTCAGGAAAGTAATAAGTAATCTAATTTAATTACTTTTTTAAAGTAATTTTGAGATCTCTGCCGTTAACGCAAATAAAGAATGCTCATTATTTTTTTTTTTTTTACAACGGTTGTTAGGAAAATTAATTTATCTGGTGGATTCAGCGGTCAAATTTTATGCCCCCGAATACCATTTTACGGCAAAATACAAAATAGCGCCGATCATCTTGTTTTCAGTATATAGACCTACTCAACTGGGTAACGTCAAGCCACTATGCTGCCGCTGCTGTCGGTACTGCACATGCGCACGCAGACGCTTCACTCCTTTTGAATTTGTTTTCTGCGCAGGCGCAGTGCCCGTCTCCGTCACAAGTTGGTTGCAACCATTAGACCCGGCTTGGTGCCAGTCGAAGAAAACGAAAAATCTTCCTCACCGGTTTGTTTAGGGCCGTTCTGGTCGAGCACGTCGTAGCCGAGCTCTTTTCCGGCATTTAGGAACGCGTGGAGGACGTACGTCTGGTACTTCGTAGAACTCACCGTCAGCTCTCCGCCCGTTCCATGGTAACCTGCGCGGTGCAAGGACAGGTAATCGCGTTAGTGGGAACAAAAAAAAAGCTTTGACCAGAATCAAAAGACAGTGCTCGGCGTCGGAGATTCAGGAAGTCACACGGTTTATTTCGGGGATTGCCAGAACACTCGCAAAAAAAAATGCATCGAAATGCGAAAGAGTAATACTTCGACGGATATATATTTAATTACAATTGCAGTTACGGTTTTACATTACCATTCAGGTTCGAAATACAAATAGAACGGGAGGTATTTTTTTGTTAGCAAATGCTTCTTTAACACATTTTGTTTTCTATATTTAAACATTTACGACTCATATTAAAAGCAGGGTGAAACCAGCCGGTGCTCAATAAATGAATTAATGGAGTCTGTCCCTTAACACTGGATGAACCCTGGACTCAATTCACAATGAGGACATAAGCGCATTTTGGGAAACCCCAGGGCCGGCTTTCACCCAGTCTCAGGAGAGACCGGGCCAAAGAAAACACTGCCAAAGCCAGCGCACGAACTGAACGGGACTCAAACCGCGCGTCTCACGACGCTCGTGCACCCCAGGCTTTGCGGTGCCTTTTTTCACCCAGTCTCAGCAGAGGCGTTGTCATAGCAAGCCAGTGCAGAAGTCGCTTGATGGCAGTGTTGGGAAATACTTTAAGTACATTGTACTTAAAGTACTACTTCAAGTAGGTTTTAGGAAACTTGTACTTTACTTGAAGTAGGTTCTCTCACTATGTACTTGTACTTTACTTAAAGTGTTTTTTTTTTTTGTACTTTCCGAGGAAAGTGCAATTTCAGACCTCAAAGTACAATACCCAAATTTGGTTTTGTTAAATTTGTATCACGAAGTGATGCTTTGTCAACTCCGAAGAAAAATTGGGAGGGATATTCTACTCTCACCAGAGACGTGAGCAGACGATGCATCGTTCCGCTTGTTCTGGGGGCGGTTTCCCCGTAGGTTTTTGGACTCTGGTTACATCTCGGTCAGTCAGCGCAAGCGAGGAGGTTTAAAATGTTTGGAGGGCGAAATTGATCATAATCTAGCCCCCGAAACTGTGGTGCGGAAGAATTAAACTTTAAAGCCGAAGAAAAAGACAACAGACGAGAACGTCACAATGTTTTGAGACATTCTCTTTTGTCTTTTCCTTCGACTTGAAAGTTCCTTAATTTTTTTGCACCCCAATCTCAGGTGTCACATAATGAATAATTACCACAAGCTCACTTTCACACTCACTGTTTTTGTTTTGTTTTGTTTGTTTTTTTTTTGTTTTTTTTTTAATTAAAGAGAGGACACTTTTCTCTGAGAGGATTGCCTGCGGAAGCTACGGGCCTGACTTCATGTTCTCTACTGGTACATCTAGCCCCCCTGGGTGCAACAATCCAGTGTAAGCGGCGCCAAATTCTGAAGAGGAACTTCTGAAATTTAGAACAGGGACTCAATTCCTGAAAATAACTACTCTGTGGCCACTTGACTTTATCAAATATTCGTCGCTGTTTCTGAAAATACGTCAGCCCCCCCCCCCCCCCCCCCCCGATTACCCCTGCATGGGCAATGCATACCAGTTAAAAATAACTGTGTAGGGGAATTGAAGGACATCGTCTAAGATTGTGTTAAAATACTTGTACTTTACTTCTAAGTGCTTGTATTTATAGTACTTTTCTTCAAGTAAATTGCACCCAGTGTATTTACTACTTTCCTTAAAGTACCATCCCGTCTCATTTACTTTCTACTTTACTTGAAGTACCTTTTAGATGTACTTTACCCAACACTGCTTGATGGCATTGTGTATCATCTTTCACGCCAAACTTTGTGTAAGAATCTGAAATTGCTGATGATATTTTGCAGGGTAGCACTTCTCTTCTACTGGAACTACGGAGAGGAAAACAAGCGAGTGAAAGCGTTGGAACAGGACCACCTTCAAGAACTTTCCTTCTGGCAGCGGTCTAGGGGAAACGAAAGTAACCCCATGCACGAAGCCAGTAGCTCGATCTTGCCCATGCGTTCACCTGTTCCTCTCACCTTGCTTTCTTGTTGTTGTTGTTGTTTTTTTGTTTTGTTTTTATTTACTGCGCTCAAACCGTGGCAAGGGCTATGCTCTTGATACGGTATTGCATCCCGAAGGGGATCCAAAATTGTACAGGTTGTCTCAAATAGTGGCCAGGCTCTTTAAATCGACCGAACAAATCAGTTTCTTAACCTATCGCGCTACGATTTTGTGCATCGTTGCTCGCAGGTGGTGCAATTTTTTATAAAATTTGCAAAGAGTAAACTTACCTGAGGAAAAACAAAAAAAGAAGAAGAAAAAGGCTTAACTCCTATGGAAACGCAGCGAAGCCACCCGTCTTCAAACAATAGGCCGCCATTTGTTTGAAGAGCGGTGGCTCCGCTGCGTTCCCATAGGAGTAAAGCCTTTTTTTTTTTTTTACTTTTTCCTCAGATAAGTTCGCTCTTTGCAAATGTTATAGAAAATATGCTCTACCTGTGGGCAACGCTGCACTATATCGTACCACTATATGTTAAGAAACCGATTTTTACGGTCGATATAAAGAACGTGGCCGCTATTTGAGACGCTCTGTATTTAATTACAATCGTACGCGTATAATGAATACGTATTCTCAAGTTTGATACAATCGACATGTACCATTTCTAATTGTAATTGAATATCATATACAAAAGTAATCTAAATCTTAAATACATATTACGAGTGTTTGTTTCCATCCCCGCGTCTGTTCACGGTTAGTATTCTTTAAGTCAACGTATTTTTCTTTATATTTCTTCTCGGCAACGCCCGAAGATAGGACGGGGGACCATTGCGATAACCCGTCCCACAATGTCAAGCTGTGCATGTTCCTGTACTTGATCTGTCACACTTCCGATGGCTCTCCGGTCGAGCACTATATTCAGTTTCAGCTTACGATGAATCGTAGCGGACGCTAGATGCAAGCCACCAGAGCCAATTCGATGTCGTGCGAGTATCGCGTGACCTTCGGGAGAAGCGCAACAACGTGCAGGGTGCGTGGTCACGTGATACATTAGCATCGCTGGATTGGCTGGGAGGTCTCGTAGCGTACACGCCGTGGTTCATCATAAGAAGCTGAACATATCTGGCTGTGGCTATGCTCTATCCAGGTCCCTACATTACCTGAAACGCGTCACCGACTGCCGAACTTAATATGTAGTATTTAAATAGTCTCCTCGATTTCCGGCTCGTGACGACGCAGTTTGCGTAACGCTGGATCGTCGCATTACGCCGGTGACGACGTCACAACTGTGTAATGTCCCGTTGCACAACTCTGTGTATTGACGACGCTACGACGCCGACTCTGTGAAATCGAACCCTCGCTCACCGTTTGCGACGAAGGTGTCGTTGGTGTTGTCTTCGGATTTTTTGAAGTAGGGCAGAACCTCGTCGAAAGACCAGCCCGTGGCCCCTCCCGCGGCCCAGTTATCGTAGTCCCTCCGGTTGCCTCGGTTGTAAATCATGTAGTTCAGAACACTCCCGCCGCCCAGCACCTTGCCCTGAGCGATGGCGCATTTCTGGAGAAAAAACGAAACAGGACTGACTTTTGAACAAATGACTGCCAGGCACAACACGCTACAGAGGAAAAAAAAAAAAAGAAACAAATCGAGCACTCCATGGAGGGAGGGGGCCAGGGTGACTTTTCCCATATCCCGTATACCCCCGGTATCATGTACGATTTCAATTTAAAGCAAGTTAAAAACCGTCCTAAAAATGTTGATGTATATAGACAAACCGCACGGAAGCCTCTGCGTTTCGATGAAAGACTTAGTTTCTTAAAAACCTCAAATAAGCCATGCTCTGTGGCTAAAAGTCAAGTCAAATTGGACGTTTTAGTGTTTATACAGCGTAAGGTCGGCCTGCCAGGATGGAGTGACACTGGTTTACACTGTAGGTGAGCAATATTGCCAGTGCAGTACGACTGCTAACCTGGGGTTTTAAACGTGCTCACGCAGTAGTGATACACGACCGCACGCCGGTATAGGAGGTATTCAACGCCATATTTGAGGGTGATGTTTAGAGCGCATGCTCAGAACGAGCTCACATTAATAGCCTGCTAAAGCCGACAACCTTGATGGTGCTAAATGCACGCTCCAAAAGAACTGCGGAAGCTCGCCGTCAGCACGCGCTCAGCAGCAGCGCACACGGATATGGCCGCTAGTGAATACTCCCTATACGATGCTAACCTAGGGTGCCTTCATGTGCGCTTTGCTTAGGGTGGAGACATCTCGCCATTTTGTCCCACGCTTTTATTTTCATTTTTTGTTCAGAAGCGCGTGAAAGAGCGTGTCCCTGCACGCGTTTGTGGCGCTGACTGTGCTCTGGCGACATTTTGTTTTCGTCGATTTCTTTGTATTTTCTCCGTGAGCGCGAGCTGTCGGCATCGGGTACTACAAAGGGTGGCATCACCCTAAACAGAAGGACATTGAGGCACCCTATGCTAACCCAGATCGAGACGGGCAGGGGTGGGGTTCGAGCCCAGGATCCCTGGGTTCTGCAGCGCGAACTTTCGCTCCACGCGCGTCCAGCTGGGTGTGCGCTTTGGCTAACCGTCGGCTGCCTCTGAGATTCTTGCATTCAGCCTTGTGTGTTTGTCCCATTTTGTAGTCTGTTCATCTCCTGTATATTTCGTGTGTGTGTGCTTCTCTTTTTAATTCTACCCCGTTTGACGACTTCTATTGTTTGTTTAATTTAACTGTAAAAATGATTCGTGCGATCCTCTGGTGGCCAGTCTATATCTCTTCATTCGATTGAAAGCGATTTCATTTTTGTAATTAACTTCGCGTTCCCCTTTTACTTTTATGAATCCAATATTTTGGGACGCAAATCAATTGGCATCGCTTTCTATACTCGTATTCACCTTAAGAACCGCAGAGAAAAAAAGTCCAGTTCCTCCCGTATCGTTACTAATTTCCTTCGTGTGTTGAATTAATATTATTAGTTGCATCTTTGATTAGCTTTATGTTATTTTATGAAGACTTACACGTTTACAAATCCAAAATCATCACTTCTTCCTTCGACAACAGAATCTTGTAAGCCTCCGGTTGCGCATGAATGATGCACGAAACGTGTTTTTTTTTTTCTTGATCTTACAAAAAGTATAGTGGTTTAAACGGGTGTCGCGTCGGGTGTCCACTTCCTTCTTCACCTTACAATTATTTCCTTCTCCAACTCTTTGTCCCGTGAAAGGAATTGCCTTGTGCACATATGGTGAATGACAATTGAGTCTATCTTTTTATTCCACCCGGAAATATACTTTTCCTTTTCATTTTTTTAGCAACAATCGTACAAGGGCTAACAAATATCCTCCTCTCATCAACGTGCAAAAACGATTGAAACCACGTGATTGACAAATAGTTACTTACTGAGCTCCGTCACACACATTTTTGCGCAGCGCTGAAAAAGACACAGGCGGCGCGCGCACCTTATAAAATAACCGCACTATAGTATAGTGACGGTAAGGGTGTTAACTGACATTCTGACGTCTAGGTCACGTGAGCAATATAGCCGCATATTACGATATATTGCTTATATGACCTTTGTCCCGTGACGCCATGGGACATGACCTGGGTGTCGGCAAAGCGGCGCTAGTCAAGGGGAACTCGTTGTTAAGCGTAACGTGTTTTTTTTTTTTTAATGAAATTTACTTTTGTAGTTGGTTTCTCGAATGTGTGTTAACATGGAATGATAATCTTTTCCCCTGTTGGCGGCATAGCCTCGCTCTTCCCTTCACGTCACCAGTGTCAGTGTTGCTTGCGGAACACCTACACCGAGACTGGGGTGGAACAAACGGCAGAAGGGAACGGAATCGTCAAACCGTATACCTGGTCCTCCATTGCGAAGCCGCAGTGCTCTTGAGACTCCGACAGGAAGGCCCAGTCGATGTCCGTGTGGTGGTTGATGGTGGTGAAGAGCGGGACGTCGGTGACGGTGTCTTCGAGACCCCCGGCTTCCAGGAGCAGCACTTTCGTGGACGCGTCGCTGGACAGTCGGTTAGCGAGAACCGACCCCGCCGAGCCTCCCCCGACTGCAACACGAAGGCACCATGGGCTACTTTTATGACACGAGCCTAATGAGACGTTCGTTGGAACGGTTCACACGAAAATATGTGAAGGCCATAGACCTTTTTTTCAAACCGGCGTGAAAAATAATTGAGGTTGTATGGATATTTAGACAGCGTGTAGTTGGTCAGCCATTTCAAAGTTGCGACGAGTCACTCGCTGTAGATGAGAAATTTAGCTAGTGCGGGACAACCGCGAACCTAGGGGTATTTAACGTGCACCATGCAGTAGTGGTACACGTCTGCACGCCGGTACGATGCCCATCCAGATCGAAACGGGCAGGGGTGGGGATTGAACCTAAGATTCCTGGGTTGTGCAGCGCGAGTTTTCGCCCCACGTGCTCCGAGCTGGTGTGCGCTAGCCCACTCGGCCATCGTTACTGGCTCCAGTAACGTTACTTGCTTCAGTAACGTTACTTGCTTCAGTAACGTTACACTTGGCCACCGATCTCCCTTCGAATCCACTATTCTTTGTTCTCCCTGTGTTTTTTTGTTTTTTTTTAATTTACCTACTTGATCATAAACTAACTGGCCCGAACTGCCACTTTATTTACGAATTTAGACAGTACAGTATGGCTGCTAGCCTTGGGGTTTTAACGTGCACCTCGCAGTAGTGACACACGACATAACACTGACTATGCAATGCAAAACTAAGTCACCCTCTTCATTTTAGTGTTAGAAAAAAAGAATAAGAAGCTTATAGCAATATTTACTAGGGCTGGACAATTGATCGATTAAACTACCGATTAATCGATTCATGCTTTAATCGGGATTAACGTTTTGACCGGTTAATCGGTAAACGTTTGACGAACCAAAAGAAAGTCAAAATTACACGCTTTCACCGCAGAGACGCGGACGAGCACAGATGTATGAAGGGCAAACCTCGCGTATTTGCAAGTCCTGCAAGGCAAGAAGGTTACGCTTGTCCCGTCCACTTCAACGCCGTTCGAGTGTTCGTTTAGGACAGCGGAGGCTTTTGTAAACAGTCTAAGGAGGTCCCTCTGCTGGAGAGTACCAACGAACGTCTTTGCTTCGTGCAGCTGAAGTAATAATTTGTGTGTCTTTGAACTGTTCTTAACTACACATCGAAGTTTATTCATAAGCTAAATTGTATATTGCGCTGTTTATCACAACTGAAGCAAAATATATATATATATATATATATATATATATATATATATATATATATATATATATATATATATATATATATATATATATATATATATATATATATATATATATATATATAATCCGACTTTTTTAAATATTATGCGGAGAAATGAACAAGTCCGATTAATCGACTGATTAATCGATTAAAAGCCGCCGATTCATCGGATTAAAACGTTTAATCGACGCCCGGAACTAATTGTGTATTCGCTAATTATTTAGCTCTATAATTAACCCATGACAATAATCGGTTGCTCTAGAATCCCGAGCGCAGTAAATATGTCGGCAAAGCAACCCTTTGAACATGCATTATTACATTAATATTTTTTATAAGATAAAGATGACCGCCATGGCGACCCACGGATGTGAAAAAAAAAGGCAGATGGACGTCATCGACCTAATTATCTCAAATAGTCAGTAGTAAACAATGTAACAGCATTACTAAACAAACTAGATAGGCTTCACACTGATTCTAATACAGTGCCTCGAAATTGAATTAATTATTTATAAAACAATACATTTAATATAATTTATTAATTTTGTTTTAATTTGTTACAATGTTAAGACGGAAAGTTGGGCTAGTTCGTTGTACGTTCTTGAAGTTACGCCATGTCCTGTTTGCATCTATTTTCTTCTGTCCCCGTCTCTTGGCGTTTTTGCTTCAACTCTATGAAACGTATACGGTGTAATGCTTTTTATGCTAGCTATTAAAGTTGTAGTACGGTACAACAAACTTCTTATAATCATTGGATTGTAGTAATCATCGAATCATTAAATATAATAATTTAAATTTTAGTAAAGTACACTGCGAACGATGTTCGTTGTGCCATGCCATCGTGCTTACTTGCCTTTTTTTTTTAACTTGCAGTGGTTAATGGAGTGTAGAACAATATATTTATCGGAAAATAAACTTTGAACTATCACCTTTAAACGCCTTCTGCAATTTACAGCTCGAGCACTTTCCGCCCAAGCTAGAAAGAGTTAGTTGCGCCCTCCATCCCGGCAGCTTTCGAAGAGACGTTTTATAATGACTGTTTCTTTGGCACGTAGGAAAGCAGCTCCCCGTGTTTATTGCGTTAATAAAGGAAATCTTGACCCGGGCGTAATCTTGCGTATACGCTCGCCGCATAAGTCCTTGGATTTCCCACCGCCCGTCCCTCTGTCCTTCGCCCGCCGCACGGGTCCTTTGCGCTAGCCGGTGTTTTCTCAATGCTTGGATTCGCTCGTTCATTTTTCCGTATTGCTCTCGAGGGACAAACACGTCAAACATAAAAAAAAAAAAAAACAGAGTGCACGTTGCGTTAGGTTGACCTGTCTCTCGGCTCTAAACGAGCTTGAATGACTTGATCACTCTGCTATGGCAGTACCAGCTAGATAACAAGGCCTCATTGTTAAATAGTTAACGTCACTTGAAGAGGCAAACGCTGGGAACTAATTGGACAGGAGTACTGTGTCGGTGTTCGGTTCAATTCGTCCCCCGTGTTCGCCTCATTATGTGACCTTGAAAACTGAGCCCTCTGGTTTTGTTGTCAGGAGGTGTGCAGCTGGCTATGCGCATTTGTGGAAGAGGTGGGGCTAAGTGGAAGGGCGTTCGTGTGGTCACTCTCGGGTCGTCCTTGACCGGAGTCGCTCTTGCACAAAGGCCGCCGTAAGCAGTCGGCCGTCCGTGACCGAGATAATGACTCAAATTAGTTCAGGCTGTGGCCGCGAGCTTTTTTTCCCTTCAATCGTAAAACTTCCGGCTTCGTTACCGAGACGGACAGTGCGTTCTATATCAGAGGGAATGTGTCAAACTGAAATTACCTATATTTCCGTTCACACTGAATCCGAACGCCGCCACCGCTACGACCTTATCGGGCCAATCAAGGAGCTTTCGGATTCGGTTTGCCCATTTTGCCTTTAAACTTTTCGCGTATAAATACTTGAAGACTTTCCGAGCCCACCTGGTATAATCCCTTTTAGTTAACATTTTGTTTTTTTAATTTGAATTTACTAGTTGCCTCTCTGCTCTCCACAGACGACCAGCCCACGTCCCCCCGCACTCCCTCATTCGGTGTGTTCCCGTGCGCTCCCGGTGCCAACCTTTCCAGGCTCCTTTGTCGAATTTGCAATCCTGACTGAACCTCCGCAGTCATACGAAGTACACCATTTTCAAAAGACAGTCCTGGCACCATTATTTATTTTGATATGCCCCTGAGCACTTTGTATTTATTACAATTTCATAGGGCATTGCAATTCATAATAACTTAATTTCTTTTCCCTTCAATTTTATTCGTGCTGCTCTGATATTTCCTTCCTTCATGGAACCGTACTCTCAGATATTTGTATTTTCTACATGATCTATTTCAAGGTCTTGTACTTTCAGCGGTTCCCTCTTTTAGCCGTTAAAGTACATTACTCCAACCTTGTCACAACTTAAGCTCACGCCCAAGCTGTCCCCTTCCTTTCTATATATTCCAGTTAGTTTCTCTAAGGTATCGCACTTATCTGCAATAAGTAATATATGTCGTCTGCGTACATTAGTCCCGGAATTACTTGTATTACTTTTTTTTTGTCCTTCCAAAATAACTTGTTACATCAAAACCTAAATATTTGGATTGGATTTGGATTTAGATATGCGGCTAACCCCTTTGTAACGGGGATCCCAGCGTACTAGATCTAGCCAAATTTATCTGTTATTTTCTTCTTGGTTTTTCTTCCACCACTGCTCCCGATTATGGTTGCCAGCTGCCAGTGTCGGTGACACTGGCAGCTGCCGTTAGCCCCCCTCTTACCCCTCTCCTCGTCCCTCCAAGAAAATAAAAAAAAAAAAAAGATTAATTTTCGAGAAAGGTATTTGGTGGAGGTGCTTTGGGGGCTAATTTATCTAATACAGTATGTATAAAGTACACAGTATCGCAAGAACAGTCAATAAACGTTCGAACCAATCACAGCTTAAGAAACGTTTGGGTGACTTATTGTGTTCCATCTTCTTTCTTCATTTATTCTTCGAAGTTCTCGTTCGCCGATGCAGCAATGTAATTGGCTGCGGAGCTTTAATTATCGTCGCTGACAGGATAAGAAGTGAGTTGAAGCTCCACCTCTAGCCCGCGCTTCTTGCCTTTCAGTGTGCTTCGGATGCATGTGCGACCAAGGGTTACCAAAGGCAGGAAGCTCGAGATGGAGGCGGAGCGCGCCTTGAATTCTTAGCCTGGCACCGACTATGGGTGCTCGAGATTCAGCATGGCTAGCGGTTGTTAAGCTATAAGCATCTATATTATGGATCTCAAATTTATGAGAACAAAACAACTAAAGGTAGTTGAAGTTGGTGGCCCTGAAATGATATCTTGTAAGAACCTCGGAGTGACCGACGAAATTCCGATAAATGGTCGATACTTCACCTTGGTCGAGTTGGTGGTTTATGCTTACACTTCACAACGCACAAGACAAACGCACTTGGAAAGTTCACTCACACACAAAAAAGAACACTCGCACTACGCTGACTCTCAATTCTGGTTTGTATTGTGCTTTCTCTTCATCTTCTTTTATTCTTATATATAAAGAACTAATTCAAGCTACAGCGGATATAACTAGGTAACTTTTCCTAAATAGTTTAACTCTTTTTTTATTTCAGAAGGCTATCGAAGGGGTACTAACACGCAAGCTACCTAGCGCGACAATGTTAGCAGTTTCTATGATTTCTCGCGTAAGCTTGTTCCTGCTCAGTACGGTGCCTGTTGGCCAGAAGTGGAAAACACCCGCAATCTCAGATTCCTAAATGTCCTGAATCGGCCTTGATGGCGTTTTTATTGTGTTCC